CCGAGCTTAAAAAGATTATTTTTTAATTGAATTTTAAAAATTATTCAAATTCGACTCGTTTAAAAAACGAGCTGAGCCTGAATAAGTCAAAAATAAATCGAGCCCGAACCGAGTCCGAATATTTACACATAAACGAGACGAACTTGTCGAGTTTGAGTCGAGCTTGTAGGACTTATTTTTTAAACGAGGTTAAAAATTTGTTCAAGTTCGAGCTCGTTTAAAAAACGAACCGAGCCAGAACGAGCGGTACCCGAACCAAACTCGAGTAGCTCAGTTTAATTATCAGCCCCGGTGATCAACCACCAAACCTTAATTTAGACTGTAAAACTCAAATTTTCAACCTCGACTAAGATCAACCCAAAATCATCAAACCCCACAAAATGGACACCACAATATGTGCTCCTTTGTACTAGAAAACTTTTTGAAGTGCGGAGTGTCGGAAGGCAGAATAATATATCCCTTATGAAGAGTAGAGATGAAATTTCCACTTTTTTCCCCCTTATTTTGCTTGCTATGATGAGAGATTAGTTTGGTATCTTTGTTTAGAATTATAGTGTTTTTACCAACTAATGATTGAATTCATGGTAGATCTTAACCTGAATATTTTGTGGAAGGTCTCAAATAAGATTTAGGCTATACATGAATCTCTCCTCGCATGTAGTAAGGGTCTTTACGAGTGTGGTATGATGTTTGGCTAAAATAAGTTTAAAATTAAATATATTCCTTTAAATGTTAAAAAGAAATAATATAACTGCAAAAAGTTGGGGATTTGCAGGTGCTTTACCGTTGACAATGAGCTTGAATTTTTGTGGGTTAATGGTCTTGAAGTCTTGTAGGCGAGTCTTATGAGAAAGCTCCATTTCCCATGACTTTATAGCATTCTGTACCGTCTCTTCTAGGGATCCTTCTGGCCATACCTACAATTCATGTCACCACGATGTTTAAGAGAGATGTAGAGGCTAACCCATAGAACTTTATCAATCACGCACACACACACATATATACATATTCATATGCCGGAGAGAGAGAGAGAGGTGAAGGGAGGGTTAGACACCTTGGTTCGGCCTTGTTCGAAGAGCTGATTCACCTCGTCGTATATGGGAGGCCCACCATGTCTCCAGTGGACGTTATCTGCTTCCTCATGCAAGAAAGACCGGTACTTATCTCCTGCAAGTTTTACAGTCGCTTCACTTTTAGAAGCCATGTTAGTATAACAGAAAGTTGCTGTAGACTCAAGCTGGGGTATGGGTTTTATAGATCAGAGAAAGGGGCTGATAATAGGCTATTGGATAGCCATGGTTGACGTCTCCTCTCCTCATGCTTTCTGCTTAAATTGTCCTTTTCCTTGCTGATCTAAGGTTGAGAAAAAAAAAATTATAGTTAAAAATTAATTTACACTTTACAAAAGAGAAGTTATAATAATTGTTCATTATCGTTTAATATATAATTTTAAGATCAATTTTAAATATTGTAATTGATCATAAAATGTTATGTTCGATAACAAATAACTTGAGTTAATTATTATTTTACCTTTAAAATATTTAACTTTGCTTTTAAAACCTTTAGATTTTCATAATCGATCAAAATACTTTTTTTTTTGTTACAAGGTGTTTAGACTTGCGTCAACTACTCTCTAGAGCTCTGAATCGGCCACCGTAACTCGAATTAGTTTAAGAACATATCTCTTTAGGAATAAGAGTGGTTGACTTTTAGAAGATGTGAAAAATATCGAATCTAAAATCTCTTAATTGTAAGAGGACAAACTTAACTACTATAATACACCTAATCATTAGTAGATCAAAATATTGAACGATCGATTATGACTCTTTAAATTGTAACTTAAACTCTACAAAACTATAATTTGAACTTAAAAAATTATAATTTTCTATAATTATTCTATATGTTTTTTTTTTCAAATGGAAATCTACTTTATAACCCTGTGGCCTAAAAGAGAAGACTGGGAAAACAAAATTGGTGTAGTCAATCCCATATAATGGGACAACTTTTTTATTAACTATTCTTGGACGAAAAAGACAACGGGTTTGATCATTATGCCCAACCTAACACAAGGAGGATGCCAAAAGTCACTCGGTACAACATTAATTTATAATATAAAATAAAATAGATTTTAATAAATTTATTCAATAATATTAAATAAACTTATCTAATGGTTACTAATATCTCTCTCAAAACTACTTACATTAAATTTTGCTCCCTCTCCTCTCAAATCTATCATTTTTCACTCATGTTACACTAGGTCTGAAGACACAAATTATACCTAATTATACACAATATAGACACTTGAGGAATGTTTGTTTCGAGTATAAAATTTAGGTGATATAAAATTTTATATTCATTCCACTCCAATCTAATAGTATATTATACTCAGTGTTAAACTATAATCTCATCATTCTCCTTGTATATTTATCACAAATATTTTCTGTGTAATACCTACTTAAAAAAGTCAACAATTGCGGCTAATCAATGTAAAAGACAATTTTAACTTTTAAAAAGTCAAAAAATTGCGACTAGGCTTTTATATGAGAATTGTACCGGATGACATTTCGATCTTTTTAGTTTATAATACCTATACCAAGAATATAATATCACCCCTTAAGTGGTATTTATTAAGACCTTCTACAAGACATTATGGCTACTGTTCATAGCGGGTAAGTATTACGACCCAAAAAATAGTATTGACTATAAATGTCAAACAAACAACGTATAAGATGGGTCTCACGTACTATTTTTCTAATACCACCTCGTTATACCACTCTAATACTCAAAACAAATGACCCCTTGATGTGAAGTGCAGTGATCTAATATTGAATATTGGAGGTTACAGTGTTGTCAAATCATCATTGTCACGTAATGTATTATTTAATAATAAATTTATAATTGAATAAGATGAATCATATTTGATAATAANCCCGGCTTTCTATAGGTCCGAGCCCCTATAAAATGGGATACGAAGGAAATGAAAATTTCTTTGAACGAAGAGATTGAGGCCGGGGGGAGCCTGTTAAACCACGCCAAGGCTGAACCCTTCAAAGTGATAGCAAAGGCTCGACAGCGTACGGGATCCTGGTACCCCGTGCAACCTTGTCTAGTTCTTATAAGTGTTGAGGTGGTCCATGGGGTCCCTGGTTCCATCAAAAGACTCAATCTGTGGCATCCTGAACTTTGGGGGGAGGGGAAATGCAACACCCCAGGCGTGAATGGAGATTTAGTCTGTTGCACCAAGGCGTCCATTATAACTGAAGCTTTGCTTCTGACCGCTTCCTTCATGTGGCTGAGCTTCTGTTGGATACCCTTGAAGCGTTGCTCCCAATATTGTTCCCTTCTCTCTCATGCTGATAAGGGAAGATATCATTCTTTTCACCTTCATGGTTTTGACTTTGTACTTTTTCATTGTGGCCATTCCTAGGGGGTAGTTGGGAAACCTGCCCCAATGTCTAGCTGTTTTCCCATCTTTCGTTGTCTTCTCTGAGTGGATCAAGATGTTGTTGATCCCTGTGACGGGGACTGTTTTGACCTTCTTGGGTCAGTCGTGCCTCCTGTGGGTGCTGTAAGAGCTTCAAGAGCTCTTCGTTTTGCTTTATTAAGCATTGATTGACAAGGCGCGGGGCCTCCATCTCATCATTCGTGGGGGGATTCCCCATGAGAGGATCAGTCTCTAGGACGTTCTCGGACTATTTTCCATTGGTGGCTTCCTGTTGGTCCTGCATCTGAGGTGGGTTTGTTTAGCTTCTGTTCATGTTTCGTGTTGATACCATCAGTCACTGAGAAATCAGCTTATTTGTAACAGGAACAGTCGTTCCCACAGACGGCGGCAAACTGATGGTGCAAACTAACGTGGGCGAACAGAGTGCGTGGGACTAAAGGTGAATCTAGGTTGTCAACTTCATAATGACAGAGATGAAGTGTTTCTTAGAGGGTAGGGGAATTTGTACATTAAGAATATAGTGGTTCACTAGCTCTAGAGCTCGACTAATTCACTCTCTAATGGAGGCTCTTGCTCCTTTATTTTCTCTCTTGATTTCTCGAATGTATTACCGTACAATGCATCATCTAATTAGGGTTTTTCCAGGGGTCTCCTCTCTTGATGAGGCATTACATAGTATTTATAAAGTTGCTCCCTATTCTATGGGATTTCAACCGAGATCTTTACCAATTATTCATGGGATCCTCCTTGATTTTATGAGAGAATTTTGGTTGGTTGAGAGTTTTATGCATTGGGCTCAATTTTTGCAGTCACCCAGCTGTTTCCTGGTCGATTCTGCTACGACCTCCCCAAGAGAAGCTCTACCTCTGATTCTCTGAGTTCTCCGTGTCTTTCCTGACCTCTTTTCTTAAGTTCACAGGTAGAGTTTGTTTGAGATATCATCAAAAGTTATATATATAATTGTGTATAATTAATTTGCATTGTGTATAAATCATGTGTAGTCATGTTTTATGCTCATGGGTAGTCAAGCACTTGCTGAAAAATCCTACTATGCCGTGCCCAAGACTGGAGAAACAAGCCGTCGTTATTCTCATGGAGCTTGGTGATGTTACCAATGTGCGGTGACACTGGCCTGAACCTATGAAACTGGAGATGTCTTCTTTTCTTATTTTGGTTGCACCACGCTATAACACGGTGCCAAAATGAGCTTTGATATATTAGTAACTTTGTTCTATTTTGATTTATAAAACATAATTATGAGTCACAAAATAATTTCTCCTAACATGAGAGTTAAGCCGCATATATCTAATCAACAATAGTCTTATCGTGCACTAGACACTCTTTTCGTCGCAAAATATAACCTTGAAGCCTGAATATAATGCTTACACATTGAATATGAGAGTAATGGCTAGTGAGCCATATCATATTAAATAGGTACATAGCTATTGTCATTGATGAACATAGTACACATACTACACGTGATATCACTGTTGCAATGAAAGTAAATGAAAGTAGGGAGATTATTTAGCCTTAAAAGAAAAAAGGAGACATTGATCTATTTGTGAAATGGACAGCCAAGAGTAGAGGTTGAAGTTTCATCCCCTTCTTGTGGTTCAGACACTGGTGGTCCCTTCAACAGACCCGCAAACAACTCTGCTGGATCGTAGTAAACTTCAACATCTTCTGCTTTCAGAGAGTCATCAACCTGTGAATTTAGATATGAACACACAGAGAGGTTTAGTTTCCTATGAATGGACAACATGGATCCAATATCCCAAAACTTTTGAATTACTACCATTCACTAGTCTCATTTTAAGGTTTGTAACTATTCATACGATGATTTGACAAAGCAAGTACATGTTGTGGACTGAGCTGCAACATGGACTTGCATAAAACTTCGTTTAAGTTTGGTAATTTGTCCAACGTTATGAGTTCGACTCGTTTAATAAATAAGTTGAGTAACTTGAATATGTGTCTGAATTGAACTCGAGCTTTGAGTTCAATTCGTTTAAATAGACAAGCTAAGCATTGGATAAAAAATTAATGACCCAAGGTTAAGCCAGAAGTTTGAAGCTTGTCATGATCACTAGTCAATCCCACATTATCTTTGCAAATGAACAAGTCGAATCCAAACAATCTGGTGTTTGGCTTAGTTGGGTTCATTTGACCCTCGATACAAGTAACAGATACTTTTGAGACTTCACTTATTATGACAAAATGTTGTGCCGCAAGTCTTATCATAATAAATGAACTCTCAAAAAAACCTTATGAAACTTTATTTCAAAAGACCATAATGGTAGGTGTAGTGGGGAGAGAGAGAGAGAGAGTACCTTCAAAATTCCCATTCCGTAGAACTCAACCATCTTTCCAGTAGGGGCATGTCCTTTGAAAGGCCCCTCAAAGAAGCCCCAGTGCCTGAACTTGTAAGCAATCAATGGGGGTCCAGAATGGACACTGAGTACTTCCCATGCAAATCCACGAGGAAAAGCCGATCGAAAGGCATCGTGAGACGATTCAAAGCTCTCTTCCTCTGCTTTATAGTATTTGAATTCCTCCGGCAGAGAATTCTTCAACAAAGCGTTGTAACTTCCAAGCCTCAGAGTTTCTTCTCCTGCCAATCCTTCTCTTCCTGTCTCACCGAACAAACACACCACTTTTTATTTTCTTTTCTTTTCTTTTTTTAATTATTTTATATCAAGTATACACTGCTACAATGACAAAAACATTAGACCAAAAAACAGGAGTAAATGTTACAGTAGGTGTGGGACCGGGTAGGTCAAAACGTGGCCCATATCCCTTTCAACAGAGTAATGGATGTCTATGGGCTACAATGGGATGGACCGGATGATGGATGGGTTGTAGGACTTTTGGACCCATTCATGAAACCACTAGACTTTGTGGGCCACAATGTTTTGGACCGGCCATGGTGGATGGGCTATAGGACCTTTGGAACCCTTTCATAAACCACGACCTTTTGCCCTTATAATTTTTGTGCAATGCTATTAATACTTACAAAATTGATTTAATTTCTCGTTGCACTTTTTCAATTTTTTTTTTTTTTGCTATAGGTATCTAGCTTTGTGCCGACTACTCCCTCGAGCTCTGACTGAGCCGGCCGCCATAACTCAAACTAATTTAAGGATAGAACAATTCTACAAAACCTAAATAAAACCCAAAAAGTTACAACTCAAATTCATATCATCTTTTAGACGAATGGATTTCATCAATTTTTTCAGTGAAGTCTACTTATCTCACACTAATCCAAGAAATGATATGCATTTGGATTTCATTTGGGTTATGTAACATTTTTCTTAAGGATGAGCAATACTTCAAAACTCAAATAAAATTCAAAACATTTGAGCCTAAATGTATATCATCTTTTGGAGGTGTTAAATTTTTTTATTGAAACTCTATCGCTTGTCATGTTATTAAATTAACAAATCAAATTAATTTTTTATGTGACAATAACAATACTCGTAACTTTTTCTCTATCGAAAAAACGATTATCTAGTCACAATCATTTCTCCACGTGACCCCAATAAACCAGTATTGTGACAACATTCAATCCTGCTATCTAGAACTTATGATGCTCTTGACCTCTCGCCCACCACCAAAAGATATTTTAAGAAAAGAAAAACATAAACTTATGGATAAATGTTGTGTTTACCAAAATTTTTATTAAATTTTGAATTTTAAATAATGTGACACATTAATAATTATTGGATAGTTAATGAGAGTTTATACATCGATCTTATAACTCATATATTTGTTTAGAATTCAAAACGTATTAAAAATTTTGGTAGAAAGTATTATGTAAATTAAACAGTAATAAGAACGAATTGTAAATTTAAACATTTGAAATTCGAATTTTGACGATCTTTTAGGGTCAAATTATAAGATATTTATCTCTCATAAATATTCTAATTTTAGCGTAAATAATTTATTTTTGATTAAATTTTAAAAAAATTAATCAAAATATCTATAAACTAACTCAAACATCAACGTTTAAAAAAAAACAGTTATACTTGGTAAATAAATGAAGGATAGTACCGATTGAGTTGATTGACACGAACATAAACCCACCAACTATTGTACCAGCCACCCGAAGCATCCTTACTGTCCAAACCTACCATCGCAAATCTGGGCCAGAACCACAATAGGTCTGAGTCTTATCAATCCAAAATGGTACTGAGGGAGTGCTCAGATATTACACCAATAAATTTTTATTGGTAGGATTATGAAACTTTTAAACGTGTCTATTATTTTTTTTAAGAACGAACTTCACTAAATTAGCACTAGTGATCAATAAGGTTGTTAATCGAACGAGCTTGAGCTAAATTCGAGCCGAGCTTAAAAAGATTATTTTTTAATTGAATTTTAAAAATTATTCAAATTCGACTCGTTTAAAAAACGAGCTGAGCCTGAATAAGTCAAAAATAAATCGAGCCCGAACCGAGTCCGAATATTTACACATAAACGAGACGAACTTGTCGAGTTTGAGTCGAGCTTGTAGGACTTATTTTTTAAACGAGGTTAAAAATTTGTTCAAGTTCGAGCTCGTTTAAAAAACGAACCGAGCCAGAACGAGCGGTACCCGAACCAAACTCGAGTAGCTCAGTTTAATTATCAGCCCCGGTGATCAACCACCAAACCTTAATTTAGACTGTAAAACTCAAATTTTCAACCTCGACTAAGATCAACCCAAAATCATCAAACCCCACAAAATGGACACCACAATATGTGCTCCTTTGTACTAGAAAACTTTTTGAAGTGCGGAGTGTCGGAAGGCAGAATAATATATCCCTTATGAAGAGTAGAGATGAAATTTCCACTTTTTTCCCCCTTATTTTGCTTGCTATGATGAGAGATTAGTTTGGTATCTTTGTTTAGAATTATAGTGTTTTTACCAACTAATGATTGAATTCATGGTAGATCTTAACCTGAATATTTTGTGGAAGGTCTCAAATAAGATTTAGGCTATACATGAATCTCTCCTCGCATGTAGTAAGGGTCTTTACGAGTGTGGTATGATGTTTGGCTAAAATAAGTTTAAAATTAAATATATTCCTTTAAATGTTAAAAAGAAATAATATAACTGCAAAAAGTTGGGGATTTGCAGGTGCTTTACCGTTGACAATGAGCTTGAATTTTTGTGGGTTAATGGTCTTGAAGTCTTGTAGGCGAGTCTTATGAGAAAGCTCCATTTCCCATGACTTTATAGCATTCTGTACCGTCTCTTCTAGGGATCCTTCTGGCCATACCTACAATTCATGTCACCACGATGTTTAAGAGAGATGTAGAGGCTAACCCATAGAACTTTATCAATCACGCACACACACACATATATACATATTCATATGCCGGAGAGAGAGAGAGAGGTGAAGGGAGGGTTAGACACCTTGGTTCGGCCTTGTTCGAAGAGCTGATTCACCTCGTCGTATATGGGAGGCCCACCATGTCTCCAGTGGACGTTATCTGCTTCCTCATGCAAGAAAGACCGGTACTTATCTCCTGCAAGTTTTACAGTCGCTTCACTTTTAGAAGCCATGTTAGTATAACAGAAAGTTGCTGTAGACTCAAGCTGGGGTATGGGTTTTATAGATCAGAGAAAGGGGCTGATAATAGGCTATTGGATAGCCATGGTTGACGTCTCCTCTCCTCATGCTTTCTGCTTAAATTGTCCTTTTCCTTGCTGATCTAAGGTTGAGAAAAAAAAAATTATAGTTAAAAATTAATTTACACTTTACAAAAGAGAAGTTATAATAATTGTTCATTATCGTTTAATATATAATTTTAAGATCAATTTTAAATATTGTAATTGATCATAAAATGTTATGTTCGATAACAAATAACTTGAGTTAATTATTATTTTACCTTTAAAATATTTAACTTTGCTTTTAAAACCTTTAGATTTTCATAATCGATCAAAATACTTTTTTTTTTGTTACAAGGTGTTTAGACTTGCGTCAACTACTCTCTAGAGCTCTGAATCGGCCACCGTAACTCGAATTAGTTTAAGAACATATCTCTTTAGGAATAAGAGTGGTTGACTTTTAGAAGATGTGAAAAATATCGAATCTAAAATCTCTTAATTGTAAGAGGACAAACTTAACTACTATAATACACCTAATCATTAGTAGATCAAAATATTGAACGATCGATTATGACTCTTTAAATTGTAACTTAAACTCTACAAAACTATAATTTGAACTTAAAAAATTATAATTTTCTATAATTATTCTATATGTTTTTTTTTTCAAATGGAAATCTACTTTATAACCCTGTGGCCTAAAAGAGAAGACTGGGAAAACAAAATTGGTGTAGTCAATCCCATATAATGGGACAACTTTTTTATTAACTATTCTTGGACGAAAAAGACAACGGGTTTGATCATTATGCCCAACCTAACACAAGGAGGATGCCAAAAGTCACTCGGTACAACATTAATTTATAATATAAAATAAAATAGATTTTAATAAATTTATTCAATAATATTAAATAAACTTATCTAATGGTTACTAATATCTCTCTCAAAACTACTTACATTAAATTTTGCTCCCTCTCCTCTCAAATCTATCATTTTTCACTCATGTTACACTAGGTCTGAAGACACAAATTATACCTAATTATACACAATATAGACACTTGGGGAATGTTTGTTTCGAGTATAAAATTTAGGTGATATAAAATTTTATATTCATTTCACTTCAATCTAATAGTATATTATACTCAGTGTTAAACTATAATCTCACAATTCTCCTTGTATGTTTATCACAAATATTTTCTGTGTAATACCTACTTAAAAAAGTCAACAATTGCGGCTAATCAATATAAAAGACAATTTTAACCTTTAAAAAGTCAAAAAATTGCGGCTAAGCTTTTATATGGGAATTGTACCGGAAAGCATTTCGATCTTTTTAGTTTATAATACATATACCAAGAATATAATACCACCCCTTAAGTGGTATTCATTAAGACCTTCTACAAGGCATTATGGCTACTGTTCATAGCGGGTAAGTATTACGACCTGAAAAATAGTACTGACTATAAAATGTCAAACAAACAACGTATAAGATGGGTCTCACGTACTATTTTTCTAATATCATCTTCTTGTACCACTCTAATACTCAAAACAAATGACCCCTTGATGTGAAGTGCAGTGATCTAATATTGAATATTGGGGGTTACAGTATTGTCAAATCATTATTGTCACGTAGTGTATTATTTAATAATAAATTTATAATTGAATAAGATGAATCATATTTGATAATAAATTTTATATATAAATAAGATAATTACTAAATTAAGTAGAGTTCACTTGTTTATATGCCGATTTGTTATTAAATAGTGATATTAATAATAACATTAGTCTGTATAGGTCAAGGGGGGCATGCCCTTGGTGTTGAAATTAGGGAAACACAACTCAAAAAAAGAAAAAAGGGCAGGGTGTGGGATTGGGCACGAGGACTCTTGGCGGAGTAGTAACGCGGTAACTAATAAAAACTTGGTTCTTAGAAGAACGGACTCTTGCAAAAGAGTGCTCGGACGCGATGGTTGTGTAGAGTTGTGGATTCGCCTCAAAGGGGAGTTAAATCTGATGTAATTCATACATGAGAGAGAGATTGTTAGGTATTGCAGATGTGGGATCACACATCAAATAAAAAAATAAGTTAAAATGTCTTAATATATTGTTAATTAATGAGATTACCACCTATAAAATTAAACTTTTAAGTGAATATATATATATATATATATAACCTTGTATCTCTGGACTTCCTAATCTCTCAACATATTGACGTGTGGTAAAAACGAAATACTTGCCCAGCATAGTAACTTAAGAATAATACTATTAGGACCTAATTTACTAACATAATTTGTTGACTTAATTTATTATGACCTCTAAATTGACTGTAAATCCCATTAAATATTAGAACTTGGTGTTGATCCAATGATTCTTATGACGCCACATTATTATGTCAATAAATTCGGTTAAAATTTTTTTAGGTCTAAATAGCATTATTCATAACTTAGTGACCACTACATGTGTTATGTGCGACTTTATGAGCTCATATATATTAAATGATAATATCACATGTTGTGTTTTTTCGAGTAACTAAACATTTAGCCATAGCTAAAATAATGGAAACATTAATAGTATACAGTTTCTCGAGCCAACCACCATAGTATTNGGCAAACTGATGGTGCAAACTAACGTGGGCGAACAGAGTGCGTGGGACTAAAGGTGAATCTAGGTTGTCAACTTCATAATGACAGAGATGAAGTGTTTCTTAGAGGGTAGGGGAATTTGTACATTAAGAATATAGTGGTTCACTAGCTCTAGAGCTCGACTAATTCACTCTCTAATGGAGGCTCTTGCTCCTTTATTTTCTCTCTTGATTTCTCGAATGTATTACCGTACAATGCATCATCTAATTAGGGTTTTTCCAGGGGTCTCCTCTCTTGATGAGGCATTACATAGTATTTATAAAGTTGCTCCCTATTCTATGGGATTTCAACCGAGATCTTTACCAATTATTCATGGGATCCTCCTTGATTTTATGAGAGAATTTTGGTTGGTTGAGAGTTTTATGCATTGGGCTCAATTTTTGCAGTCACCCAGCTGTTTCCTGGTCGATTCTGCTACGACCTCCCCAAGAGAAGCTCTACCTCTGATTCTCTGAGTTCTCCGTGTCTTTCCTGACCTCTTTTCTTAAGTTCACAGGTAGAGTTTGTTTGAGATATCATCAAAAGTTATATATATAATTGTGTATAATTAATTTGCATTGTGTATAAATCATGTGTAGTCATGTTTTATGCTCATGGGTAGTCAAGCACTTGCTGAAAAATCCTACTATGCCGTGCCCAAGACTGGAGAAACAAGCCGTCGTTATTCTCATGGAGCTTGGTGATGTTACCAATGTGCGGTGACACTGGCCTGAACCTATGAAACTGGAGATGTCTTCTTTTCTTATTTTGGTTGCACCACGCTATAACACGGTGCCAAAATGAGCTTTGATATATTAGTAACTTTGTTCTATTTTGATTTATAAAACATAATTATGAGTCACAAAATAATTTCTCCTAACATGAGAGTTAAGCCGCATATATCTAATCAACAATAGTCTTATCGTGCACTAGACACTCTTTTCGTCGCAAAATATAACCTTGAAGCCTGAATATAATGCTTACACATTGAATATGAGAGTAATGGCTAGTGAGCCATATCATATTAAATAGGTACATAGCTATTGTCATTGATGAACATAGTACACATACTACACGTGATATCACTGTTGCAATGAAAGTAAATGAAAGTAGGGAGATTATTTAGCCTTAAAAGAAAAAAGGAGACATTGATCTATTTGTGAAATGGACAGCCAAGAGTAGAGGTTGAAGTTTCATCCCCTTCTTGTGGTTCAGACACTGGTGGTCCCTTCAACAGACCCGCAAACAACTCTGCTGGATCGTAGTAAACTTCAACATCTTCTGCTTTCAGAGAGTCATCAACCTGTGAATTTAGATATGAACACACAGAGAGGTTTAGTTTCCTATGAATGGACAACATGGATCCAATATCCCAAAACTTTTGAATTACTACCATTCACTAGTCTCATTTTAAGGTTTGTAACTATTCATACGATGATTTGACAAAGCAAGTACATGTTGTGGACTGAGCTGCAACATGGACTTGCATAAAACTTCGTTTAAGTTTGGTAATTTGTCCAACGTTATGAGTTCGACTCGTTTAATAAATAAGTTGAGTAACTTGAATATGTGTCTGAATTGAACTCGAGCTTTGAGTTCAATTCGTTTAAATAGACAAGCTAAGCATTGGATAAAAAATTAATGACCCAAGGTTAAGCCAGAAGTTTGAAGCTTGTCATGATCACTAGTCAATCCCACATTATCTTTGCAAATGAACAAGTCGAATCCAAACAATCTGGTGTTTGGCTTAGTTGGGTTCATTTGACCCTCGATACAAGTAACAGATACTTTTGAGACTTCACTTATTATGACAAAATGTTGTGCCGCAAGTCTTATCATAATAAATGAACTCTCAAAAAAACCTTATGAAACTTTATTTCAAAAGACCATAATGGTAGGTGTAGTGGGGAGAGAGAGAGAGAGAGTACCTTCAAAATTCCCATTCCGTAGAACTCAACCATCTTTCCAGTAGGGGCATGTCCTTTGAAAGGCCCCTCAAAGAAGCCCCAGTGCCTGAACTTGTAAGCAATCAATGGGGGTCCAGAATGGACACTGAGTACTTCCCATGCAAATCCACGAGGAAAAGCCGATCGAAAGGCATCGTGAGACGATTCAAAGCTCTCTTCCTCTGCTTTATAGTATTTGAATTCCTCCGGCAGAGAATTCTTCAACAAAGCGTTGTAACTTCCAAGCCTCAGAGTTTCTTCTCCTGCCAATCCTTCTCTTCCTGTCTCACCGAACAAACACACCACTTTTTATTTTCTTTTCTTTTCTTTTTTTAATTATTTTATATCAAGTATACACTGCTACAATGACAAAAACATTAGACCAAAAAACAGGAGT